AACGGAAGGTTTCCAGATGGATATGCAGAGCAAATCCATCTGGCGGAGTCAGATTTACTGAAGTAGAGCGTATGTACGCCCCTGTGTAAAGTTGCCACTAGCAGCACGAGTCTCTACCAGCACTGAAGGCTGGATTACGCTAAAAGCAGAGAGCTATATCACAGTTGGCATCTAATTCACTGAAATTAAGTTATAAATAGACTGACAGCGTGTGACGGCATCATGCACTGGCTGTTAATGATAGTTTTTCATCTCTATATGTCAGAAATCATGTGTTTGGCTTTTTTTATTTGTCATTTTTTATTCGTTAACCCTAAAGGTCAACTACCTAGCAGCTCATTTATGGGTTAAGCTGACAAATGGATGGATGGATGGAGGGAAGAAATTAGGAAGTTGACAAAGAAACGTTTATCAAATTCAGTAGATGAAAATACCGTATAAAATAACAAGAGCCCCCTATTTAAATGGATGTTAAATGTTTTTATTTTATTTGTTTTTCTTAAGCTATTTGATTCTTCTTAGACCGAATTGTAGCTTCAGGACATTTAAAATCTAGATCAGAGGGAAAACTAAGCATGGGGAATCCTGCTCTGCCATCCTCTACATCAGTAAAGCTCATTATGTAACATCCAATTCTGTGAGAAGGTCCCAGTTACATGACCCAGAGGTTCTAACAGAGGAGCTGGAAATAAGCTGTAAGCCCCGAAACAAGCAGCTGCACATCTGGGATGGCAAAGTCCGCTAATTGGAATGATAAAAAAAAAAAAAAAATCCTTGTAAACACAGAAATCTATTAGAAAATGTCATTTTTTTTTCAGTCAGAATGTTATTATTAAGACATTTTGTATTTAATGACAGTTCTGTGTTTAAACTTGATTGAAATTCACTGTAAAATCAGTTTTCTTACCAAGAAAGGATTAAGATCTCTGGAGATTTTAGTCAGAAACTTTCCCTTGAAAGTTGTGATAAAGAAAAAAAAAAAAAAACACTCAATTATAATCTACATGCAAAGCTACTTCTGATATCTGGTGAAAATCTTTTCTATGCTTTTTTTGCCAGGTGTGCAGCAAATGATGCAGTTTAAACTGTGTTCCTTCAGGCGTTAAGTCTCTTTACATACTCCACCTATCACTGTTTGAAGATTCTTAAAGTCCCGGCACAGAGTGATTGCTCAAGCAAACACTCGGTCACATTCAGAAGCTCCTTTAATTCTATTGCACATGTTCCCACGTCACCGCTGAATAACAACAGATGCAGCTCTGCTGTCGTCTGTTTCGCTTTTGACCTGTGAGTTGATTACTTTTAAACTATCCCACCCTGTTGGTATCCAGCCAGGTTTCCGGTTTCAGGAAGTTAAAAAGAAAAAGAGAGTGATAACCTGAACCCTCTGGCTACTGCAGCCTGACCTTTATTTACATCTAGTTCCTGGCATACGCATCACTGAAAGGGGGAATATTTGGTGAACTTGGAAAGACTTTGGTCTAGTGCTGTCCTCTTAAAGGTTGGCTGTTTTAAAGGAGGATGGTTATATGCAGTATATATATTATATCTTCATATTTTTTCCAGCTGTAGTTAT